TGTGGAAAATCATTTACGGTTAGTGCGGCATTGAGAAGACATATGTTTAATCACACGGGCAGCAAGCCGTTTAAATGTGAGATTTGTGCAATGGAATTCACTGGCAGATATGACTTGCGACGACACATGCGAGTACATGAAAACCGGCCTAGAGAAAAAAGGAGAAAAAATGCTGCGTCGAAAACGAGGAATTTATTTCAAGAAGAATTGAAGGATTCTCTCTCTGTAGAGGAAGATCCTCTCGCCATAACGGAGGAACCGGATACTGAAACTGTACTTATAGAACAAGTGCTTTTACCACAGGACTTTACACAGGTAGTGCAACAAGTCGAATCAGAGAAGGAGAATGAGGATACTCTATTCCGGCTTTAATCCTACAACTTTAATCCTACATTTAATGTATAAAGTAGAGCTAATAATGTGCAGTAATAGATTATAAATAATAATTAGCAATCATTCTTACTTCGCTTGTATATATGATCACAGCCATTTTGTTTCTTTATGCTTTAGTTTAATTAAAACTGCAGATGCATAAAATTATCGCAGATGAGATAAAATTTGTAAAGATATATTTTTTACTTATATTTTCTATATAAATGATGAATACTTAAATATCTGATGGCTACATAAAAGTACGAAAGTGTTATGTTTTCAAAACAATAAACTATAAGTACTTTTTTTATATTTCTCAAATTTTCATTCAACTTTAATGTCAAAAGAATTATAATTAAATTGTAATTATAATTTTATTAATAATTAAAATAATAATCAGAAATTATGAAATAAAATAGTTATTTGTTACAAAAATATAATTATTATTTTTGTTATATTTTCGGAAATATCCTATATCATCTTTTTATTTTTTTTAAATACGTAATTTTTAAACATTTGAGAATTAATCACAATTGTGTGAATAAATAATTGAAATCTATTGTAATAATAAATTATGATAAAAGTAAAGAATATAATATTTGAGTGTCGAAGGCAGTTATAAAAACATACAAAAATTGACAAACAGCGTGATCATGCTTCTGTTCATATCGAAAAATGTCAATAAGCACTATACTTGTACTGCAATGTAGGTTTAGTTGTAGTTTTTGACATGAAAAAGCAAAAGTGCGATCGTACTTTTTAGAACTAAAACTGTTAATGAAGAAGAAAGATTACAAAGTATTTTCTCTTTTGATATAATCATTTTATAACATATTCATATCGTGTCACAGCATTATAGTATAATCTTTTAATTTTGTTTATTATTTTTATGAATTATCAAATATAATGTACATTAAGTTTCCGTTACGAAACTTTTAATTATATGAAAATATCGTGATGATATTTATCACTTAAGAACATGTGTGTGTGCAACTCAAAAGAAATTCATTTTAATCAGAGATAAGAAAACAGTTATAACTTATTGCGCTAGAATAAACTCTACATGTATGTATTTATTTATTAGTAATCAGATATTTAAATCCCAAATGTATAGTTGTTAAATATACATCATTACATTTATTATCATTAAATGTGTGTGTGGCTTATTAATTTCCCATAATATAGTTAAAAATTGTATTTTTACAATATTTATTTCATTTTACAATATAGTGAGATCATATATACAATAATACAATATAGTGAGTAATTTGCATTAATATTATTAATATTATTATTAATATTATTAATATTATTATTAATGATGATTTTTATGATACTTTTACATAAATGCTTAATATTTTATAAAAAAAGACACCAACAACAGTTTAAATATACATATAATATAGTACTGTTCTTATAAAAAAATAATAGCGCTTATAAGCATGAGCGCTCACAATGCGTAAGCGTCGAAATAGAATGCAACCATATTCATTACGTTTCCTAAACGTATATGAAACGAATATGTGCATGTAAATATGCTCTCTGAGATATGATAAAATTCGGTGTAAAACAGAGAATAATTATAAAAGTGAATCTCGCGCATAAAAATTATTGCAAATATTTTCATAAAATGTCGAACGTTCATTGTAACACATTAAATATTACGTACGCACAATCATCAAAGTCGCGGTTTCGAGTGAAAGTAGCAATTTACATTGGTATTGATCAAGATCGTCTTCGAAAATACAACTGATGTATAATTATCATCAAGTATGTATATATATTTGTCTTAAAATTTTATAGTTATATAAATTATACTTTTTCCAATATTTGAGTAACAAAAAAACATTAAAGTTTGTCATTTCTTAATTCCGCAGCATCTTATGTATGAAAGAAAATATTGTTAGAAAGCTACAATTATTATCTTTAGTTTCCTGTTTTATATGCAAAACCTTCAAGTTTTTGCAACATATTTATTTGAATGCGAATATATTATGCGTTTTTATTTCGAGGTTAGATCTTATGAAAATTAAAGTTAGTTCGGAAGATCAGTATCGTAAAAAAATTGAATGTATCAATAATGTTGGCGCGCTGCAATAGCTACGTTCATACTGATGCTCTTCTGTTAGTACACGGCAAATGGCAGGTTGACGATCGAAGCAATTAGCTGCTCCCGGTTTATCGTTTATCTGCTGGTTTTAAAAACAGGTGGAAAGTGAATCACACGTGTACGCGATTATCGGGAGTACCGAGGAAAACGCTGCATCACAGTAATTGCCGCGAATTGACATGATTAACGTGTTCTTGGTTGAAATCGATTCTCTGACGCAATTTTTATACGAGTTGTCATAATTTGTGTCGTTGTGACGGTTGAAATAAATAGCTACTCGTAGTTTTTCGAATGTGCGTGTATTGGGAATGCCAAATAAAGTGTTTGGCCAAGTGTCGCTGTTAACTGGGATGATCTCGATGACAGGTTTATGTATGTAATTATTAATAGATAATAGTTTTTACTTATTTTAAGATTATATATGTTTGTTTCAGTAATAATGGCGGGTAAATTTTTTTAAATGCATCATAAAATAATCAATTCTATAACCAAATGATAAAAAACTTTTACTACTTCCGCTTTATGGTCACAGAGAGCGCCACAAATGCTATTTTGAGATTTTGCTTTTCATTATCATTAGAGAATCAAGATTTATTCAAATAATAATTAATAAATGTGTTTATATGATTATCTTTTTAGTACATGGTTGACACATTAAGAAGAAAAATTTTTCTTCTTTAAACAGATTTTTTAAAATAGTACTCTACCAAACTATTATTCACAAGTTAAAAATTTTTTATATATGTCATATACAATTATATAAATATTTCTTATTAGTGCTACATTAAGTGATGTACATAAATACATTATTGATAATTGGCATTACCATGTAAAATAGTTTCCGTATAAATATATTTTGTAATCATCATTTATAAAGAATGCTACTAAAATTGATAAATATTCTATTTTTGCAATATATTTTACTGGTTTAATTTGTGTGAAAAAAGTAATAATCTATTTGTTTTTTAAATATTTGTTCTTTAAAACTGACAGTGAATAAACGAATTTTATAATTTGTAATTTCTCCGCAAGATGACGCGCTCAGTCTATCAATCTCTTAAAAACTGAAAAACATTTTTGCTGCTTTTGTTATATTACATGGATATGAGATGAGGAACGTATAAATTTCTATATGTTAATTATTAGGCATTATTAATGGCTCAAGTTTTATTGGTGTACTGATTAATTATCGGTAGTTGTTTCAGAAACACTTTGTAGTTTCGAAATATGAATCGTCCTGAAGCCGTACGTATTTGGTAATATTAGATAGTAATTAATTTAATTAATTTCCAATGTTTGTGTATATAGATCTTGAATAGGTTTCACTACTGCATATACTAAAATGATTCTTTAAACATTGAATTGATTTAATTATATTTAAATTTATTGTTTGATAATTTTTTTAAACAATAGACCAATTTTTGTGCTCTTATTTTAAAATTTATTTTTTTCATGTTCAATGCAATCTATTATAGTCGTATAGATAAAACCACTTTAAAATCATACCTGATATTAATATTTGTTCTTAAGATTGAAATCTATAGATTAAATATTCATACATTTGTGAGAATATTTATAGAGACCTTATACATATTAAAGATTTTTTTTAATAAGTATAAATAAATTATAAAATAATAATTACTATTCATTTATAGAGAATATTAGATACTTTGTTATATAAAATAGTAAAGTAATATGAATTCTCTATTAATGATCTCTAAATAAATATTAATAATAGTATCTAAACTCGTTCATAAATGTAGATTAAAATATGGTGTAAACAAAAACTTAGGTATGTTTTTAAGTTATTATACACAAATTATATACAAATCAGGATCTAAAATAATATTTTTCTTTATAAAATGCGCTTCTAAACAGTGAAATAGAAAGTTTTTCTAAGTTTTATGATGAAATAAAATCAAGATTGTCATGTTTTTCAAATAAGAACGTTTCTCTAATTTTTGTTTATCCAATGATATATCATTCACTGCTAATATATGAGAATTTAGGCTATATCCAATGCTAAAGATATGCAATGTATGGGTAAAATGTAGATAAATAATAAAAAATTTTATTGAATCTAACATTTTATGTATATTTAACTTTCCAGAGAAAAACAAATAAAAAAGGAGCGATGGATCATTAATCTACAACAAACAACTGGACAATTATATCCCAATATGCATCGAAACATAGCTGGAACGAACGTTTATGAAAGCTATCGGACACAAAACAGATGTTGCCGACTGCGCGTTCTGTGCGCGATTGAGCCCCGCGGTGAGCATCGCATGTGGTTGCGCAGCACGTGATTGCGCAGGTCGCGCGTGCGCGCTATCAAGCTGCCGGCGGTCGCTACGGTGGCGCCAGTCATGGCGGCGGAAAACACACGCGCACGCCGTTACCACCGCCGCCGCCGCCGCCGGTCGGTGCTTCCACGCCTCTACCTCGCCTCCGCCACCGCCACCGATCCCGCGACTCGTGGGTAAGTACCCTCACACTCCACGCTCCAATCAGTCTGCACTCGCATGTCCACGAGGTTGCTCGCACGGGCTTGGCGGCATCCTCTCTCTCTCCCTCTCTTTCGCTTCGCCCGCTCGTACCCCCTGTTCTGTCATTCTCTGTCTCGCTCTTCCCCCTCTCTCTTCTTTTTCTGTCTTTCTCTCTCACTCTTTCATTCACCTGACTCTTAACACGAGCAGGCGTTACACAGCCTGCACGGGGGTGATACCGATCGCCAGTCGAGGTACTGGTCGCGGACACCGCAGACACGGTTGAGGTTAGGTCGACGGACCTGTCGGTGTAGTGGCGGGACGCGGCGCGGCGGATTTGAATTTTCGAACTCGGACACTCGCGCCGTACTACGTGGGGCTCTACCGGGTGTTATACGTCAATTTGTACGCGTACCACGATCGTACGATCACGGACATTCTCTTCCAGGAGGACGAACCGTCGTCTTTCTGTCAGACGACCGCGCGGGTTTGTAATTATCGTCGTCCACGATTGACAGCCGTTGCACGCGTCTGCAGGTTAGGTTAAGCAACGTTAGGTCGACGCGTGTTTTTTGAAACAGTGAAAACGTTTGAGAGGATGATGCACCGCGAGTTTTTGCCCCCGTCATCACCGTTGTTAATGTTATTGTTGCTAAAGTTATTGTTCTCGCGTCTGGTGGAAACACGCAGCGACGGAGACAAGCAGCGGGCTCTGTGAGGTTCTGTGAATGTTCTCGGACAGCCGCACGCCGCGGCTAGCCGCGCATCAGTTTCTCAGTGCACACGAGGAAAACGTACGCGCACTGGTGATCAACATGTCATTTTTGCGCCCGGAAGCGCCGCGTGGATTCCCCTCAATTTCGCGTGCCGACTCGCCGTCGAGTCCGCGTTGTATCGCATCGTGCTGCGTCGCGTGCGTGTCCGTCGTTTCGTCATTTAGGCAATGAGAACGTCGTGGCTTGAATTTGCAGAAATTTCACTCTAGGAGTGGATATTGTCTGCCTGATTATCTGAAATGTTTCATTTGTTTACTTTCGAAAACAAATAGTATATGTAGCAAGTGTTGCACATTAATAGCGATAAAAATATATGTCAATTGTTCGACTTTTGTATAAAAAAGCGGACTTTATTAAAGTTTTGCATACTTTCGTCAGAGCACAAATACTGTAACAAAAGTGACGCGGAGTAATTACGATGAGAATTATGTTGTCGGTTGAATTATCGCATAAAAGCATTATTTTCGAATCTATCTGTATTTGTCATTATTCGGAATTTTGTGTGTATTCGCTTCGGATTACAATTGAAATAGTAAAAGTACAGTGAGCAGATGGGAATATTGTCAGTTACAATATCGGGAGAATGTTATTTTACAATAGACTTTATTATGTATTGGCGTTCTTGTTGGTAAAATGTAAATGCAATTGATGTCAAAAAGTGATATATTGCTTGGGAACAAATATTACAATTGTTTTAAAATTGTGAACATAAATAATGTGTTAAGAATAATGCTCGATTATGATTACACTGAATTTTGCTAACATCTGTATTAACTGATTAGATAAATATAAAATTGACAGTTGTGAATCGGTTAATTCATGAATGATGTCAGTGTGATTCAATATAAAGCAAAACACTTTAATCAAATTTGGTAATATGTAGTTTTTTTTATTATTGAATCTTTACTGGGGATTGCAAAATGGAACGAAATGTGCAAACAATACAGCAAACATAATATAATATAATATTTTGTCAAAGACACGAAATTCTGCAAAAATGTTGCGTAAGTGTTATTTCAATACGCAGAAGTGATAAAAAGATTCAAATGTGGAGTGGACTCCGAATCTGTTTGCCTAAAATAACATTTTCAATTAGTTGTCACTTGGATTATTCTTATCGTATTACGCACAAAATGATAAGATGTTGAATATTCATTTATATTTTTAGTATTTTGACTATAATTTATGTAAAATTTATTACAGATTTATAAAAATAATCTCTATAATTAAAATTATTGAGTCCTTTTTACATTATTGGACAATTTGGAGTATCATTATTTTTAACATTTAATTGCTATAGAAATATTTTTATAATGCTTTTTTAACTTTTAATTAACAATTTTTTGACAATGTATTGATAAGAACAACAAAAAAGTTGTCAAATTTTTTGCTAATTATAATGATGATGAATTGATAAGAATGATCAAAAGAATTCAAATCTTTTGCTAATTGTTCACGGAATTTGCACATTAAATATTAAACTCGATTGTTTTAGAAATTATTTGCATACAATCTTGCTGACATATTTATTATTTGTTATTATTATCAATGTTTTTCGCACTCAATTTTTTAGCGGCAAGCGCTCGCTTAATCGTCCGTCGCGAAAGAAAAGATATGACATCGATCGATATAATTACTCGTGGATCGAATTCGATAGCTTTCTGGTTGAAAGGTTGAAAGGTTAGAAGTAGCAGAAATTGTTAGCGGGTCGAAACCCAACTCAACGCCAATGATTAATTGACAATCGTGATAATTAATGATACACGCGGTATACCGCCATCCCGGGTCTTATGCTATGACACGCTGATGTGTTCTATTAAATTGCGTTTTGTGGAAGAAAATATCGAGTGAGTTACGAGCAGATTTGCTCGTATTTGTCTATTTTTCAAAACTAATTACATTAATCATTATTATATTTGATAAAGCAGTTGCAATTGTTGCAATATATTTATACTGTTTTACATTATGAGTTTTTAAAAATTTGGCTTAGAGAGAAATTTTTATTGCTCATTCTTATTTATTTATACTTTAATTAATTTTTTACGTTGTAAAATGTTGTTTACGTTGCAGAATGTCGAACAGAATGTAGAGTTAAACATTTCGAGAATTTGTAATAATCCGATTTTTTATTTGACGGTTTAAGTAAAATAATAGGACTTTATGATTTTAAATATTAATTGAAAAAATGTATAATCAAATTTTAGAAATTTTATTGAATATTGTTAAAGAAAAAAAAACACTGAATTTCTTTATACGAGCCGTTTGACTAATAATGACACAAATAAAAGCGCTCTAAAAGCTATGTTGAAAATGCAGTTATAATATTGTCACAAAATTATTGAATTTTTATTATAAAACATATCAATAGAACGTGTCAGTTGCTAGTGATTTTTATCTTGTTATTATGTAATTAATTCTTAATGTATTTTTGCCATTTTGTAATTAATTAAACTGTGTTCGCGTATCAGGTGTCAATATAAAATCGAAAGAGAATATAATTTCATTTTGCTCGAGAAACACGACGTAATTCTCATCGATGTAATTAATGCGCCACGACGTAATTCTCATTGACGAACGAGTTAATGTATTGAATTCGCTTCTCGATTGGTGATTTACAATTTCTAATTCCACATATTTTTAAATTATAAGATTCGAATTATTGCAATCTCGGTTTAAGCAAAACCATTTTTTTTGTAGTGGAAATAATTTAAGAAAATTTATTGCTTTAAATTTATAAGAAAACATGTATACATTAAATTAAAAACTGCATGACAAAATAAATGAAAGAAAGAGATTCACCGATTGAGAAGCAAATCTAGATTGTGCGACAGATGCTATATCTAATTACAATCATATCTACCGTGACAGTTTACACTGCGAAAGTCGGATTAATTCATGGATTCAATTAATAATAAATAATTGATTAGCCAATATAAATGTTATCGGTGAAGTATATTCGATTATCGTCTTCTCACCGGCCGCGCTTTCGTGATTTACAATAGTTTGTGCGAAATTCTCTTCGTATCGCCGTCCGTATCTAGAAAAAACGATAGATACTCGACATGACAAGCAGGGTAGAAAACGACGACATATGTTTTAGATGGATAATTCTGCGTACGTACCGAATCATCTACCACCGCCGTCTTTGGTTGTATTCTCGCAGGCTGGAGGGTTACCTGAGGCCCTGAGAATGCAAAGACCCTTCAATCCACAAGTTAGTGTCCCATTGTCCTTTACCCTACGCCTAAGCATCACTATCACTTTGTACTTATGCTGTATCTCGTTTATCCGCAATGTGCTGAAATGCGATTTAATCCTTTGTCTTTCAAATGCAGATTTTGATGTTTTTGTGTTATAGATTTTTTTTCTTTTTTTTTAAGAAAGTAATCATGTAAATGCATCATGCGATTATTCGAAGCGTATTATTTTTGACTTAATTTTTTGTAAATTACGTAACGTAAACATCGTGTAGAAGTTCAAAAATTGGTTATTGGACACGTTAGTCTCTCTCTCTCTCTCTCTAATTAATCTTCGTATAATTTTTAACCACATCAAAATCGATGAATGGAATTTATCGGAGAAGCTGAAAGGGTTAAATCACTTTCACGCTTGCATCGCATATAACGAAACTGCATCGCAGTAATTCGAGTATATCGTATTCGACGTAACGTGCGTCATGATTTGGCAGAAAAACAACTTGAAATGTGTATAAAATAAACAAATAACACAAAAAAATAATTGCTGGCATTGATTTCAACGAGCGCGTCAGATAGCTCGAATTACTCCTATTCCGCTGTGCATGTCTGCGCCGCTTTATTTTTGTGCACACAAGTACTAATTAATGCACGCAATGAATAGAAATTTGATTGTGTGCGTTTGTATAAATGTGAATGCTCGAATAATAGTATTAAGTCTCAGTGTGATGCGCAACTTTCTTCCATCGAAAAGCAGATTATTGTTGCGTTTTGGAATTTGTTTAAAGATAATGAATATAAAGATAATACAAAAAATATTATCAAGAAAGAGATATAAAAATTGTTTAGTTTATCAAATCTTTATATTTATTAAAAGTAAAAATATACAAATGTTTGTATTCAATTTATTCAAAATTCGGAAGAAAGATATATGACAAATTGTGCATCACTGCTGTGTCTATAGTAAGTTGTGTGTAAGCATTAATTAAAAAAAGAAATCAAGTCTATTATCAATGGAATACAGTAAGTATTTTCTTGTGATAAGAAATTTATATACGGTTTAATATAGTTATAAGTAGTATTCACACAGAATTGCCAAGTATTTATTAATTCTAAGAAAATTATGAATAAATTATTTAATAACATTTTAATTTAAATATTACGTTAAAATACGAATACGCAACATACACAATTTGCAATTTTTATATATGTTTTTAAAAATAAATTTTGTATAACATTATTAAAATGTATCGATAATAAATTTGCAGAAAATACCGTTATTAAACTTCCGATAATAACAAGACTCTTTTAGGAGATACGATTTTATATTACACATATCTCTATCTCATAACCATGATTGCCGCAAACATTTAACGAACGAGCACCGCGGTTAATTATAAGTGTATTCCACAGCGTTTTTTAAATGCTTGAATATTTTTCATACGTGCGGGACATCAATCGGGACCGGATAACGTGTGCAGATGCGGAACGATAGATATAATGGGCGGTAGAACGAGGGAGACAGCGAGAGAATGGGTTGCATCAAAATTCAGCATCGTTAAAAAATGAGATAATTTCGGGGCGAACCTAATTGCGGTGGCGCGGTGGCAAAATACGCTCGCATTTTGCCGCACGCGGGAATGAGCGAAAAATAAAAAAGAAAAAAAGATTATTGCAAATATGCAAGCGGCGCGCGTCGCCGCTCGTGAAAAAAGGGCAGGGGCCGCAATTAAAATAATAATGAATACCTAATAAATCACTGATTGGACCGCGGGCGCAAATACGCCGGGCTGGCGAACGCGGACCTCATTTCCCCGTATAAAAGAATAATAAACTAATCGCGGCGTACTAATACCCGCGCGTGTAACTCATCGCCCGCGTCATTATCGGCCGAATGAAATGTTTATCCGGAAACCAGCTGTCCGTTCTCGCTGATGAAATCATTTCGGCCTTCCGTTTTGTTCCCTTAGTCGCGCGGCATGTTGATGAGCAACGTAAATTTCATATTTTTATACCGGAATAGATTTTATCCGAAATTCTATAACAATTTCATATAAACCATAAAATTGCGGAATTAATGATATTCCGACGTTTATGTCTGCTAGAAAAGTGTGCGCGATTGAAGAAAGATACGCTATAAATTTTAGGAAATCATATCAAATATGTATTTTCTTAATAATTCCGCTTTTAAAACCAAATATTTTGAATTTGTACCCTGTAAAAAATGGGATTTTTTTATTTAAAGAAAAATAATTTTATGAATACTTGTGAAATATGATGCTACATCGTGAAGTACTCGTGTCGGTAATTAGGCATTGAAAGACTCGCGTGTTGCTCACGCCATTACGTTTTCCGAGAAGTCGAGACACAGGAGATACAATGCATTATTATTACTTTAGCCGCGTTTAGTACGATCCGATAATTCTGGCATTATAAATGTTACAAAACCCAATGCGTAGCTGCTTCAGCCGAGCATTCAGTATGCGGCTTAATAGACTCGTCAATCACGGCGAATTGAATGATACAACCGACACACGCGAGGGTGGAAGAGAGCGCCGGGAGAGAAGAGCTGCAGGTTTTGACGGATTATTATAACACAGTGGTTTCGCGTTATTAACAGTATACCGCCACGCTGCTTTGATATTATATGCCATTCAGACGTAGCTGAAAGCGCGGAAATGCATGTTGCAAATGAGCTATCGAATTACGCGATTCAAACATTTTTCCGCTCATCGCATATTCGAAATAAAGTTATCCCATCGCGTCCAATAATGCGAGCGCAGTTTCGGAGAGTAAACGTCAAGAGTTCTTTTGTATAATGTCAGTATCATCAGAATCAATAGGAAATTAGAGATATACGATTTCAAGCTAACGACTTATGAATTGACTGTAAAATTTAATAACTAAATGAAATTTAAGGGATTTAAGGAATATATTTATTAAATGAGGCTACTCGCTAGTCTTAATATTTAATTTTACATTAATATTAGAAGTATTCAATATGAACTGTCTTAATTTGAATTCAATCAATCTTTTCTTATAATTATTTAATAGTAATTTGAAGAATATATATAGGTACATATGTGAATATATATGATCTATTTGAAAAATTTTCAATTCTCACGTAACATAGTTTCCTTCTCTATTCGGTACTGATCAAAAATTACTAACAGTTAATTGGTTAACTGTCTCTCTTACATTACTACGACTTATGTTTTCCTTTCACTAACACCAGTAATACTTTCGCGATTTAAAAATGAAACTATACAATTATACGATTACCAGCATCTTTTACAAATTTTTTCTTCGTGTTTATTTCAGGTGACCGATTCGAAGGAGCTGCAGGTGCCCTTCAGCACGGCGGCATCGCTGGGCTACGGGCTGCATCACATGCTGCATCTGCCGCCGCAATTCCTGCACCCTCTCGAGCATAGACTGCCCTTCGGCGGCTTCCGGCCCCTGGTGCCGTCCGCGTTCGCGCCCCCCAGCAAGTGCCTCAAGGTCGAGACCGGGAACGGCGCGGTGCCGGGAAGTGGCGGCCTGCCCAGCATCGGCTCGCTCTCGAGCATGTCGAATATGTTCTCGCCCTCGTCTCTACCAGGCGCCGGCGGGGGTGCGGTGGTGTCCGTTTCGGGTGCGGCGGCCGCCGCGGCCGCCGCCGCTGCTGCTGCCGGACAGGAAGTTGGCGGGCCGCAGAGTCCGGCCGGTTCCGCGAGCCGTTCGCCTACCGGCACCGGTGGTACCGGTTCCGGTCCGAATCGTGGTGCGACTCCTGACGAGGAAGACCGCGATGCCAACGCCACACCTGGATCCGAAAACACCGAGCGATCCACCCCGGAGGAAGGACGACCGTACAGACGTGAGTACAATTCAATGCACGGTTATCACTTTTTTTTCGAACGAATAATGATCAACGTAAAATAGCATTTTTTAATCTAAATTTTTGTTTAAAGCATCAATCTTCGATCAATATATTTATACAATTTTCGGCTATAATACTGGTTACTTATGTTGATCATTCTCGTTTCTTTGATAATAATAATCATGTTAATATACATTGTGCGTTTATTCGCTGAGCTTCGTTAACATTAACGAGACATCGCTTCGAGAAAATTATATCGTCGGAAAATGTCTTCGTAACATATTCTCCAAATTATCGTCATCATTCGTGAGATGTTATTATAGACAAAATTTTTCTAAGATAAGCACGCGGATTTGCTCCGTGTATTTGCGTGAAAGTCATAAATTAATATCTTATTTATAAACATTGCTTTTATGATTATCCTCATCAGGACTATATACCAAATTCTTTACACTTTCAATTTTGAACATAAAGAGTACAAGCTAAAATATTTTCTTTTTCAAACGAAGAGTTAAATATTTATTGTAAATATAAATCAATAAATATTTACTGGTTGAATCGACGGCAGCGATATTCAATACGTCATTTTTGTAATAAAAACGTTAAATATTCTATCCATTGGATTGTTTTATCGATTTATTTCAAATGTAACTTAAGTTTATTTCACAATTATTTTATACTATTCGCAAAGTTATTCGCATAGTTTATTCCATTATATCAAATCCAGAGCTGAAAAGCGTACGGAAAAAGCGGACGGCGGCTTGGCCGTCGAGAGAAAAATGGATGGCTCTATCTTTCGGTAATTAAGACAACGGCGAAAAATAAACAAACGCGCGGCAAAGAGAGGACGAGCCCTCCGCGCGCGCGCGCCTCTTCAGGGTTGTTCACGGCGCAGCTGTTACGTCGCCGGGGGCTCAAATAAACGACTTAGGTAGATTAAGCATACAAATCTCGACGATTCTGCTCCTCGTGTAGCCGGCCTTAACCCGCCCGTATGCCGGGGTCAGCGTGGAAAAATATACGGGGTGTCCACCCCGAGCGCTTGCGAGACTCGAAAAAGATCGTGCTCTTGAACAATACGGAGTGTGTTTCTCTTTCTATTTTTTCGCTTATCTCTTGAGATATATGTCCGGTTGTATACATTTCGAAAATTTTGGATACGCAGCTGAGTTTATTTAGCAGGGAGAATGTTTATGTATATTATTAAATAGAATTGCTATTTAAATAAGAATTTGGAATGTAGTTCTGATAAGGATAATCGTGAAAACAATTTTTATAAGTAAGATATTAATTTATGACTTTCGCGCAAATGACAATAATATTTCTTAAATCTCGTGAATTGTAGAATTTGGAGCTATTTCCTGGTATTTTTATGAAGGAAAAGAGATAAAATATTCTCATTCAAGATAAAAATATCGGACCGCGCACCAAATCGAGCAACTTCGTGAGAAATTGTACACTTCTCGCTTCTCCGCGCAAATTAACCGTCGGCGAAAAAGCGGGCGATGGTCATCTCGCGCGTCCTACCGTCTCTCTTTTCATCGGCTAATTTTCGTTTGATTGCGAAAGAGAAAAGGGGTTGGAGGCGTACGGAAAGTCTCTCCCTTCGCTTCTATTTTTTTTATTCCCGCGTAGTCCGACGCGAGGATAACGACGCCCTTTGACCGCGTCGCACCGCACCCGCTTCGATGCGACGTTAGCGCGTTGCTAATTAGTCGATACTGACTTTGTGGCGATGCACGGCGTGTCGCGCAACAGGGGACAGTCATTGCGGAAAATTACTCGCGTGATTGTGAGCGAAGAGTCAATTTTAATTACGGAAATTGTTGCACGTGCGCGCGTTGTCTCGCAAAGGCATGTTAGTCGTCGTTTACTGATAAAAATGCTGCTTTGTAAATTTTTTGTTGAAAGTTATAGTCACCTTTGTGTCGATTATTCGATATTTTAAGTACAAACGATGAAATATTCTCCAACGTTGAATTGAATCTTCTTTTCTCTCAGCAATCCTCTCGATATATTAAAATTCATCGCTGACACGAGTCAGTGCCAGAGATATTATTAACGTACTGTTTGATATCTCGAACGTTGACGCTATTGTACGAATTGGCCGCGCACATATCTATTTTATACTCCATAGTGTGGTATTTTCATTACACACTCACGCCCTTTTTGAACGGCCTCGTGAAGGGACGCGTATAGAGACGTGGTTGACATACGCTCGCGCTCGTGCTTCATCGCTATTTATGGCAAATAAGCATACGCGACTGTATCGTGCAATTTACATTGCGTTTATTTGACTCTAATGGCGCGGCAAAAATATCGAGTTAATATTGACTTGCGTCTGTAATGCGCGTGTTTAGTCACGTCCACAAGTTGCTATAATCAACTATCATCGTTCCAATAGTGATCGTTTTTGAAACTTTGTTATTAATAGGAAAGAACAATATGTTTTTGCGTGATTCTAAATCCTATCTTATTGCGAGCACTACAAAGTTATTAGCAAATATAAGATGCTGTTATATAAAAAAATATAGATGTTAAGTAACAATGATGAAACGAATACATTTCTATGGTGTTTTAACAATTTTTATATAATTGAATTTAATTATAATTTTCAAATATTGCTTACATATTACTTAGTATTCACATACATAAATGTTCTAATGAGAGTACGCACATTCACTTTGTTATTGCAAAGACAAGTTCTCTCTAATCGCCATTGTAAAACCGCCGGCAACTTTTGATTACGAATCGGAATAAAATCGCTCAGCAAATTCGTCCGTAATCAGTTCGCCGGTGCGGAGAATACCGGCGGACAAGTAATATGCGCATTGTATCGGTCGAGCTCGCATCACTCCCGCGAACGTATGTACAGCCGTTGCATCGGGGGGATGTGCGGTGTTTGGCTCGCAGCCGGGGGTTGGAGTGTGCAATCGTACCGTTTGGCAGCCTGTTTGAATGTTTTGCGACGAGTTTATTCGAGTTATCAATTTCCTGGCAAATATCTGCATTTCCGCGCACCCTCGTTCTCCCTCTCCTTCCCCTGTCATTCTCCGTTCTCCGCACCCCCGCCCGCAATAGCATCGCGCGATATTGTGGCCTTGTCAAAGATGCAAACCGAACTTACCCGCGGACACCGCGCAACTTGCACGGTGAATAAATAAAATGTATTTGCAATTAATTAGATTTTATAGATTAGTCGAATGTCAAATAACTTGACAAAGCATTACGTGCAAAAATATTATGTATATATATATATACGGAAAAATTATTTATTTATGCATATTTATTATAGTAACTCTGAACCATCCTGCACTTGGAAAATGTCATACAAATATTTTTTTTCTCGCTGTATTTTTCAATTTTATATGTTTTTATTATTTGTTACGTTTTTAATTACATTTCGGAATTTGCAATCCTTATGTGCGTCACTAAAATTGTATCCATATGAAATATGGATATATAACAAAAAGTTATGAAACAAAGTTCAAAGGATATAAAGAGTCATCAAAAATCATTGATAATTTCGAAAAAAAATTGCAGTGCTTGTTTTCGATATGCGCGGTCGCTTTAAAAAGACACTTTCCCGCGTAAAAGCGCGTGGTGCACCGTAGGGGCGCGGCACATGAAGGGCCGAAAGGCCGCGCATGTATTAGCGCGTTATCCGCGCGTGTATTTTTTTACGCGCGCATAAATACACGGCGGTAATATAACATAGGGACGCCGCTCGTCTCGACGAGGGATGACGGTCATGAAACGGCGGACATAAACCGGAAGTGTCGTGATTTTTAGCCCGCCGCGAATGTATGACGTCGTTTTTTCGGTTTTGCATATTTACGTTCACGCAATTTTCCGTGAATCTCTCAGCGAGAATCATTTTTGCGCACATCGTTCAATGCATATACATAGTGAAAATTCGAAATAGAATTTCTTGAACAAAACTTGCTTACAGAGTTTATTCATTTTCATTCTATTTCTAACAATAAGTGCTGCTAAAAATCTTAAATAATCTTTATTTACACTTAGCATCTAATCTAATGGAATAAATTATTTAATTTTTTTTTTAAAATGCTTTATATTTTCACAAGAATTTCATAATAGCATCCACTAATATCACAAAATTGCACCGCCTAAAAGTTTTTGGAATTAAAAATAAAAATATGCCGCAAAAATTTTGCCTTAGAGCTTTTGTTATCGTCATCGCGTTGCTCGCGCGTATAATGCGAAAAACTTGATTGCGAACTTGTTCTTTTCAACGTATCTCGTTTAATCGTATTTTATTACATTTTCTGCCCTTAAAATAAAACGCTATACAACAGAATTATGTTTCTTTAATTCCGAAAATTTTTATACGCAACGATTTTGATATTATCACAATATTATTACAAAATTCCTGCAGCAACATATCAGCGCGTATATGTGCAGCTAGCGTATAACAATAAAATCTCAGAATTATTTAGTAAAGTAAGTAAACATGACATTGTGTTAAAAATGAAACTTTTCATTCTTTTATTATATCATAAATAACAAAGTAATAAAATTAGTCTTTCAAATTATGTCGCAAAGTGCATATATGAAAAAATACATCGCCACTAGGGAAAAGTGTTAAAAAATGATTGAAGTGTAATATACATGCGATGCATCGCTCATTATAAATATTCAGTACTAAATTATTACTTCTTGAAGAAAGCAGTTAGTATCGTGGCCGTTACGACTGTGTCGTATGTCATGGATAAAAGCCCGTATAAACGTCAGTTGCGTCAATCATTCTTTAATGGGAATGAATTTTCGCCGACCGCCACTAAATCACTATTGGCCAATAACGTTTATCGTTAACGAAACACCGCGTACGTCGACACTGAATTGATGTACCACTTCGCCAATGAGATATAGTATAAATACTCGCAGACGTGATGCTGCAACTATGTTAAGCAATCGAGCGAGCGGGATAAAATCGAATTTGCATGTAACGCGCGTAATTGCTATAGCAGTAAATC